TAGGACTAAAAGGAGTAGTTTCTTCCACTGTTAGAAGGAAAAAATTCAAGTGATTGCGCCGGCACCGCAAGTGCACACACAGTTAAGCATTGCTACCTTGACAATGCAGCCTGTTCATTATCATAATAAAATACAGTCAGTCAAACATATGGAGAAAAAAAAATATTTTTAAAAAAATATGTAGTAAAATCTGTGCCGTTAAGTGTTATCACAGTACCGACGTGATGTTATGCAAAACATTTTGTTTTACGTGGATATTGGAACGCAAGGGAAGAACATAATAAATAATAATTTGCCATTCAAATACATTGTGAATCCGGAAACATTTGATTTTGTGTGGAATGAGAGACCCAATGTTGGTTTCAGTTTCATTTTAGCCTAAATGAATTCATTTTGAATTTCATATTTTTAATTCTTGTTCTTTTCTAAATACTGTTAATTGAAAGGATTTGTTGTGGAGTGAGGGGAACTAAAATAGCCTAGCTATGTTTACACAGTGTTTATTATAATGTTTGTAAACATTTCGTGTCGGCATTAGGCCTATTTCTGAATGAAATAAAAAATGTGACTTATACGTGACTTGTTTTTTTTCTCCCTAAAAACACTTTTTTTATATACGCGTAGCGTATTTTAACCATGCAGCAAACCTTTTTAAATATTTTGATAAATTACTGGAAAAATAAATAAATGACTTTTTAAACCATTTTATGGTTTTATGGCCAGTCGACCGGTGCATCTGTACTTTACTGTATAAATTATATATAGATGAATCATTGTTAAAGATACTCGCCAAGATGGGTATTTTGACATACTTTTTTTAATGTGTCTGTCTGTTCAATCGCAAGACTGCGCACTGTACACACAGAACACAGCGTGTGAGTACTGAATGGCGTTGTCTTTCGTGTCTTGTTAGAATGCTTTAAAATTGCTTTAAATTTTGTAATCGGCAAGGCTTAAAAACACATGCAAATGATCAAATTTCGTGACGAAGCAGTGGCACGATCGGGTCAGTGACAAATTCGTCAACTGTCCCGTGCATCTTTCACGCTGGCCCCGGGCAGTCCTTATTATCAAGCCCTGGCTAGTGTTTAGGACAATTAGTGGTTTAGAGTGATACGTTCATTTGCCATAGATTTTTTTAAAGACTTGTATTATTCATCATAATGAGGGCTAATCAATAGTTCTCGAGCATTCTAAAAGCCTTTTTTCTGCTGTGCTTCAGTTTTCTCATTTACTCTCCCATTACATTGCGGGAAACTTGTCAGTAAAACTGTTTTTGTTTTATTGTTTTTTTTTTTATATCTCAAGCAGGCTTTAAACTCCAGGCAGTTTCTTGTATTAAATACCCAATGCATTTTAATCTTATTTTTAGCTTATATAGCTCAATATCATGGCGTTATAGTACATATCTAGGTTGTGTTTCAAAGTAATGAACAAAGCATTCATTATTAATAAATGTAGTCCTGCAGTTTTGGTTTTAAATTTACCGGTAGCCTTGTTCTTTAAAATATGAAAAGATATGATCCCACTGGTGCGCTAATTGATAGCCTACATTTCAAATAGCCTAAGGGCCCCATGAGAATCAATATTGTTGGTAGAGAATACTGGTCTGGAACAAGAACAAAGGCCCATCTGAAGTCAAAAGCTTTATGGTTTCCTAGTTGCTATAATCTAGAACGCATATAAGCACTCATTTAATCAAACCCTTAGTGCTCTCTGCCCTAGGTCTCACATCTGTTGAGATGAAGTAAAAGGTTCTTAATTAACGCAGCAGGAAATCTTCGCTTTCATCTTCTCCCTGTATACAAATCATTAGATTTGATCACAGCTCAGCGCCGATCAGCTGCTTGCCTGAAGTCATTATCCAAATAGATTAGCTTCTCATTTTATAACCTCTTTCTATTCGTGAAACTTCATGGCAAAGCTTGAGACAGTGCTGTCTTTCATCACCGTTACATAATGTGTGCCTTAAGACGTGTTCACAATGCCAGCGATTTCCAAAATTTGCTGTTTTGATGTTTGTGTGATTGATTTTGCTTCCTCAACCCCATAAAATCGTTATATTCTCTTGTGATTCATCCACAGGTTGCATTGAGCGCCCATTTCCTCCTGCCTCCCCTAGTGGGATGGTTCTGCATGACAGGGAGGGTATGGTTCTGTAAACCCCTCTCTGTTCTCCAGTTCCCATCCCATAAACCCAGTGGACCACAGCCATAGTGTTGCCTTCAATGAACATCCCTCTGGAGCTCTAGAGTAAGTCAAGTAAGTCAGCCAGATTGAGTTTTATAGATAAAGACTCTTAGTTAATCCAGCGACCTCTGGTATTAAAAAGCTAGATTTTCTCTGTACACTTCAATAACATTCATTTAAAACATCCACAGACTACTTTTTTTTTTTTTTTTTTTTTTAATTGGATCTAGACCCATTTCATTTTCAATGTGATACTAAATCTAAAAAGTGTTTTTTAAAGACTCACATTTCACTCCCATTGCTGTAGACCTACAATAACGGTGAAAGTGGTAAATGCTGTTTTTTTTTTTCGTGGGCTGAACTGTTTGCCCACTTTTTAACCATCAAGGTCCTTCGTAAAGTCACAATCTGTGCTGATGTGCAGCAGGTTATTGATGTGGATATGGTGCAATTGTATAAACACTTTGCCAAGCCTTGGTTAGGCTTTATTCGTGTGGCTTATAACTAGATGAAGTGTAACAGACATTACAGTTGCTATGGCAATGCAAAAAAGGATTTTGCACACATATGCATCTATGACTAGATTGTCTCGGCTTCTGTTGAATTTTCACATTCACTGATAACATGACTGTCATGTATGCTTGATGTTACATAACTTCTGTTTGCTTCTGCAGTTTTGTTACCTTTTCCTTTTACACTGATAGGTAAATACCAAGTAGTTAAGCTTATTTAAAGGGGTCATATGATGCGATTTCAAGTTTTCCTTTTTCTTTGGAGTGTTACAAGCTGTTCGTGAATAGATAAGATCCCTAAAGTTGCAAAGACTAAAGTCTCAAACCCAAAGAGATATTCTTTATAAAAGTTAAGACTCGCCCATGCCCTCCTAAAATGCCTCATTTAAACACGCCCCCACATGTCTACGTCACTGTGTGGGAAGATTTGCATAACACCGCCCAAATGTATATGCAAAGTAAGAAGGCATAACTTTAATTCTCGCTGTAGTATTGTTGGAGACGCTGTGTGTTTCGTTATGAAAGCAAAACTACTTTGATTGTCCTTCCAAAGGAGGACACATCTAGAAATCAGTGGTGAAGTTGTATGTACAACACTGTTCCAGAACAGTTCAAACCAAATATTCAGATGTGTGCAACGCATTTTTATGGAGGACGAGGACTGTTTCTTAAGAGAGTAGCCTACAATGCCAGTGTTCCGGTGAATTCAGTTCCCCTGCTTCCCCTTCGGCGCGCATGCTGACCCTATACAGTCTATGATGCTGACAAATAATGCTGACTCACAGCCTTTAAGTACATTTTCATATTTAAAGGATTTGCCACTGATGATTCAAACGCGAGTTTTGAGCAGCGTAGAGTATTGCTTGTTGTTTGTCGTTTCTCCATTCACAGATGCAGACATGGTTTTATGTTTACACGGGTTGATGCAACGCAGCTCGTAAAAAGACAGTATAAGTCATTATAATCAGTAATTATGTCCCGACATAATGGGTTTTATTGTTTTTGTCTCGTCTCGCCGGGACACGGCGTCAAAGTATGGTAAGGGGTGTAACATTTCCGTCACACGCTTGAGGTTTTTTTTTTATTATAGTACTTATTTATTTCAGATACTAAAAATGATCTAATATTTATATTTTATTTTGTTTCAGCTTTATTTCAATAACTGAAATAAAAAAAAATATTTTTTTTTTTAATCCGTTTTTTTTTTTTGGCAGTTAATAGTAATAGCACCATAGGACTGATGACCATATTCTACTGCTGTGTAAATGTTGCCTACACACAGCCTTACACAGTTTTACTTCTTGCACAGGTTACACTGGGTGTCCATTCTCTGCTGCCCTCCCCCCGGTGGGATGGTTCTGCATGACAGGGAGGGTGTGGCACCATAGCCCCCTCTCCTTGAGATCTCTCCCACCATAAACTCAGTGGACCACAGCCATAGTGTTCCCCTCAATGAGCATCCCTCTGGAGCCCTAGATCAAGTAAGTCATGATCATGCAGAATCTCAAAGCTGTATTAAAATTACCTGAATTGGCAACAGCTGAAACTGTAGATCCAGCCATAACAAGCCTTTTATAGTAGGAAATGTTTACATAATCATCTAGTGTTTTGATGGTTGTGATGGTACTAACTGGACTGCATTCTTAGTGGCGTGACAGTAGCTCAGCTGTTTTCAAAATAGTGAAGCTATTTTCTCCAAGTAGTGGTGGCATGACTGAACGTTACATCACCGTTGTTTATATCACATTATATTACACATGTAGCTTCATGTGTGCAGAGGTAAAAATCAGATACTCGTAACATATTATTGGGTATTCATTTTATCGATTCAAACAGTTTGTTTATATATTGTTTTATATATATTACCAATACCATATATATACCAATACCAGTGAAAATCTACGGTTCTCGGTACCAATTTCGGTACCAAAGCAAAACAAAACACAAAAACATGCTAATTGAACAACATTTTTATTTATAACGTTAAACAAAAATTAAATGTACAAAACCAATGCCATTCTTTATACTTATTTAAAATTGTTTCAAGTTTTTCCACAAGCAATAAAAGTATGAAAAAAGTAAAGAAGCTTCACCCAAAAGTTTAGTCATAGTTTTGCTGCCACTGAAAATCATCTGTAAACTGTTGTCTGTTTTAGGGTTTGCTGGTGTGTTTCAGGATCTTCCTCAGTCTGCAGCTGTAAAAGGAAAATATAATATACTTAAGTAAAGCAATGGGCTGAGTCTGACCAAATGCAACATAAGATCATTGACACCAGCTAAAATATACAGTGGTGTGAAAAAGTGTGATTTCTTATTTTTTTGCATGTTTGTCACACTTTAATGTTTCAGATCATCAAACAAATTTAAATATTAGTCAAAGATAACAAGTGAACACAACATGCAGTTTTTAAATGAAGTTTTTATTATTAAGGGAAAACAAAATCCAAAACTACATGCCCCTGTGTGAAAAAGTGTTTGCCTCCTAAACCTAATAACTGGTTGGGCCACCCTTAGCAGCAACAACTGCAATCAAGTGTTTGCGATAACTTGCAATGAGTCTGTTACAGCGCTGTGGAGGAATTTTGGTCCACTCGTCTGCAGAATTGTTGTAATTCAGCCACATTGGAGGGTTTTCGAGCATGATCCGCCTTTTTAAGGTCATGCCACAGCATTTCAATAGGATTCAGGTCAGGACTTTGACTAGGCCACTCCAAAGTCTTCATTTTGTTTTTCTTCAGCCATTCAGAGGTGGACTTGCTGGTGTGTTTTGGATCATTGTCCTGCTGCAGAACCCAAGTTCGCTTCAGCTTGAGGTAGGGCTGGACGATATGGCCAAAATTTATATCACGATATATTTCTTAATTTCGGTCGATACGATATAATCCCGATATCGATATGAACACTATTAAAAAAAGCCTTATTAAAACTGCCAAGAACGCCAAGTCTATGAAACCTCTTCATATAAAACTAATAAATTTTCTTAATAAATTAATGTTCACCTTTTATTTGTATTTAGACTTCATACAAACAAGAAATGTGAAATCACTGTCAAATAAACATCTCAGATTCACCTTATTAATTATTAATATTTTTAACTTCAAACTATAGGCTAACATACACTACCAGTCAAAAGTTTTTGAACAGTAAGATTTTTAATGTTTTTTTAAGAATTCTCTTCTGCTCACCAAGCCTGCATTTATTTGATCCTAAATATATTTTTTACTATTTAAAATAACTTTCTAATAGGAAATATTTTAAAATGTAATTTATTCCTATGATTTCAAAGCTCAGTTTTTAGCATCATTACTCCAGTCACACGATCATTCTAATATTCTGATTTGCTGCTCAAAAAACATTTGTTATTATGTTGAAAACAGCGGAGTAGAATTTAAGGTTTCTTTGATGAGTAGAAACTTCAGAAGAACAGCATTTATCTGAAATAGAAATCTTTTGTAACATTATAAATGTCTTTATCATC